TGATATGTTAAATAAGTAAGATATTGTAAGTCTTTTTTTTTTTTTTTTTGAGACAGGGTCTCACTCTTGCTTAGGCTAGATAGAGTACAGTGGTACAACCACAGGTCACTGCAGCCTCGACCTCCTGGGCTCAAGCAATCCTCCCACTTCAGCCTCCCAACTAGCTGGAACTACAGGTGTACACCACCACACCCAGCTAAAATATTTGTGTAGATATGGGGGTCTCTCTGTGTTGCTCAGGCTGGTCTTGAACCCCTGGGCTCAAGCAATCCTCCCACCTCCGCCTCCCAAAGTGCTGGGATTACAGGCATGAGCCACTGTGCCTGGCTATTGTAAGGCTTAAAGTTTTAAAGTATCTGTTATCTGCATAAAGAATAAAAGAAAAGTGAATAATGGAGGGGAAGAATGGAATGTGAAAACAAAGAAAAGAAAGGAGAGAAAAACATAAAAAGGTGGACAAAAGAAAACACAAAAGATGATAGACATAAATCCAATTATTTCTTTAATAACAATAAATGTAAATGAAATAAATGTTCCAGTAAAATGATAAAGATTGTGTTAGAATGGATTTTTAACATTCAGCTGTATGATGTTTACAAATGACACATGCAAAGCACATGGATATAGAAAGATTATAATAAAAGGACGGAAAAAGATATGTTGTGCAAATACTAATCAAAATAGACTTTAAGACAAGAAAGTATTACTAGAGATAAAAAAGGATCAGTGCATAATGACAGAATGTTCCATTTCATCAGGAAAAGATAAGTAATTCTAACATTTTAGGTCAGATAATTCCATTTTGGGCAAGGATGTGGGAATATACACTGTTGCTGGGAGTGTCCAGTCTGTGGTCATTTTAGAGAGAATTTAGCAGCAACATGAGAACATAATCAAACACCTTCAGATATAATAGATATGATAGATACCATGAGATTCTGGCTCTGCCCATAAAGGGCCATGCGAGTGTTCACTGCAGCAGGCAGTGAAAGCAGCAAAGGCCTCCTTCAGAGGGGCTGGAGAAGTGAAATGTGCTGAAAACATAATGTAGAATTTAATGCTGTAGCCAGAAACAATGAACCAAATGTAAACACAGCAACATCAATACAACTTGGAAAAATAAAACAGTGTGTGCTCAATACCATTTAAGTGAAACACAAAAAATAATATGATGTACATCCATGTTTAAGGACGTATATTTATTAGACTTGGTTCCTCTGGGAGAGAGGGGAAGGTGAGTGAGGGTGGGGGACACAAAGGAGAAACGTCACATAAAAGAAGAAAGGGCTTTGTATGGACATGATTATGACTAACCAACTCCATGCATCCATGCATCCACCCCATCCCTGACTCCAGCCCAAATAAAAGTTTGCCTCTTGCTTAAATCCAGCCAGACTTAAGATTTGAAGCGTACAAGTTTAGAGCTCAAGGTGGCTATAGAGTCTGAGTATATTCTCAATGGAGGGTGTGGCAACTGGTAGTTGTCTCCAACATTTACTCTCCTCTTACTCCTTTATAATGCATTCCCCAGCCTCCTTAGTGGGTGGGTATATCTACATAATTAATTTCTGGCCAGCGTTAGGTGGAACTTCTAGGAAGGATAGTTAAAAGGGAGGGGGCATATGTCATTCTGTCCTCTTCTATTTTTGGCTTGGAATGTGGACATGATAGCTGGTTCCCTGGTAGTCATCTGGGACCATGATGCAACCTTGAGGGTGCTGAGAAAGACAGGAGCTGGATTCCTGATGCCCATGGAGCTGCTGTACCAGAGCTGCTTTTTTTGGGAGACAGAAGCACACTTGTATCGTGTTTAAGGCCTTATTTTGGAGTTTTCTATTATATGGAGCCAAATATTCTCCTGATAAGGTGCGGTTAGAGTAGATGTGGAATTGGAGATAATTTCATTTTTTCCTAATCAGTCACCTTCTAGAAGAAATATTTCCTGGAGATTCTTTTTCAAATGCCAACTTTTTAAAATACCAATTTGTTGCCTTCAAAGGATAGTAGTTATACCTTCATGGAGGTTTAATGTTTAGAATTTAAAAACTGATTTAAAATAAAATATAAAATAATTTGGACTTTGAAGCAAAGCAGAGATTTGGCAGCAGGCAGCCTTAAGAGTTCAGCTCAGGGATAGCAATATCTCATTATACACACTTTAGTTGCATATATACATAGAGTGAAGGGACATGATCTCAGGGACTGGTGGTTTGGCCGATGGATAGCTGCCAATCGGTCTGACTGCGCAGCCTGAACTCTAAGTAAGCACTTACATTAATTCTGTTACTAAACAGTAACCTTATGACCAGACAGACTTTAAGGATGAGAGGTAATCTGGTGAGCTGTAAAACTCCTGATTGAATAGGAAGCAGACTTTACTAATTAGTGATTTTTCTTCCTCTTAAGTTTGTATCTTTTGATTCTTTTGAGTTTGTCGAGTCCATTTCCTGGCTTAGGAAAACAGGTTGGGCAACCTCAGAGAAACCTATTTAATTAGCATTAGTAATGGTGGCAGGTTTGTTAAGCCAGGAAGCACTGGAATTAAATGCTTGAAATTACTCACTGGACCATTGTCATAAGTGTCAGGTTCATCAGTGCTCTTTGCTCCAACAAATCTCTTTGCAGACCTACAATTTGGCATCTCTTTTGGCTAACCAATTTATAGTCTCCCAGATATAATTTTATTTTCAAGCAATTTGCGTATGTTTCATTGTTGCAAAAGAGATGCTCACTGTAGAGAATGAATATTCAGACAAATAAAAACAAAATAAAACAAAGTAAAAGCCTGCCAATCTCACCTAAAGACAATCATTCTTAACCCATTGGTGTGTATTTTTTCATAACTCTTTTATACTGTGTGGTGTCTATGTGTATGAATTTTAACCATCAAGGCAGTAGAAGGAATTTTAATAAATCTAAAAGCAGTAATGAAATAGAAAGCAAAAACCAGTAGATTTGATTGGTACAGCCAAAGGCTTACTCTTGAAAAAGACCAAGAAAATACATAGATCTTTATTGGTCTTGCCAGAGGCGTTTGAACCAGAGCAACTCCATCATGAATAGGGGCTAGGTAAAATAAGCCTGAGAGCCACTGGGCTGCATTCCCAGGAGGTCAGGCATTCTAAGTCACAGGATGAGATAGGAGGTCTGCACAAGATACAGGTCATAAAGACCTTGTTGATAAAACAGGCTGTTATAAAGAAGTCAGCCAAAATCCTTAAAAAATCAGGAAACAACAGGTGCTGGAGAGGATGTGGAGAAATAGGAACACTTTTACACTGTTGGTGGGACTGTAAACTAGTTCAACCATTATGGAAAACAGTATGGCGATTTCTCAAGGATCTAGAACTAGAAATACCATTTGACCCAGCCATTCCATTAGTGGGTGTATACCCAAAGGATTATAAATCACGCTGCTATAAAGACACATGCACCCGTATGTTTATTGTGGCACTATTCACAATAGTAAAGACTTGGAATCAACCCAAATATCCATCAGTGATAGACTGGATTAAGAAAATGCGGCAAATATACACCATGGAATACTATGCAGCCATAAAAAAGGATGAGTTCGCGTCCTTTGTAGGGACATGGATGCAGCTGGAAACCATCATTCTCAGCAAACTATCGCAAGAACAGAAAACCAAACACCGCATGTTCTCACTCATAGGTGGGAATTGAACAATGAGATCACTTGGACACAGGAACGGGAACGTCACACACCGGGGCCTATTGTGGGGAGGGGGGAAAAGGGGAGGGATAGCATTAGCAGATATACCTAATGTAAATGATGAGTTAATGGGTGCAGCACACCAACATGGCACATGTATACACATGTAACAAAACTGCACGTTGTGCACATGTACCTACCCTAGAACTTAAAGTATAATAATAATTAAAAAAAAAAAAAAAGCCAGCCAAAACCCACCAAAACCAACATGGCTAAAAGAGTAACTTCTGGTTCCCCTCACTGCTCATTATATGCTAATTAGAATGCATTATCATGTTAAAAGACACTCCCACCAGTATCGTGACAGTCTGCAGATGCCATGGTAATGTCAGGAAGTTACTCTATATGGTCTAGAAAGGGGAGGAACCCTCAGTTCCAGGAATTGTCCACTCCTTTCCCTGAAAACTCATTCATAATCCACCCCTCATTTGGCATATAATCAAGAAGTAACAATAAAAATGGGCAACCAGCAACCCTGGTCCTGTTTTGTCTATGGAATAGCCATTCTTTTATTCCTTTACTTTCTTAATAAACTTGCTTTCAGTTTACGGACTAGCCTAGAATTCTTGATTGCCCAAGATCCAAGAACTTGCTCTTGGTGCCTGGATCGGGACCCCTGTCTGGTAACAGTCTTGTCTAGGGAAAAAAAAAAACACATAAATGAACAGCATGTGGAATATGAACAAGAACATAACTATTAATAGACAGATGGAGAGTGAAAACCTAAGAGAATACAATATTTGTAAATGTGTAAGAATGTTATCAAAATGCTTCTGGAAAAATGCTTAGTATGTCCCTCACGCTCACCTATACCAGGGGTCCATATTTCTAACTTTGGAAGTGCCTCCTGGATATGCCCACGTGGGTGCCTGGCCATCCACTCAAATCCAACCTCTCTAAAAAGTGATTCTCCCTACTTCCTTCTCACACAATTGTGTGGCCAGAGCAGCCAGACCAATGACTCCAAACTACCCCCAAGTGTACTGATAATAAGGAATTCATGCCATTTAATTTGGGCACATTTATCTCAAGATCAAGAACGTGGGTTTGGCCCTGGGCCAGGGGAGTCAGGGTGATACAGAAAGAAGGTGGTACCTCTGGTGTGGAGGCCAAGGACTCCGGACAGTTCAGCCACATCAGGTGGGCTCTTCGTGTGAATTAGATGACCTCGATGTTCTTTTTAACGCTCATGTTGTAATACATTGAAACCCTAGCTTCAACACTTTAAAAAGTTCTTATTAGCAAATAAATTACAGACTGAACTCCTGAATCATTTGCAGCCATTTTTTATTCCAAACATGTATGTTTTTGTAAACCTGACATTTCCCAAACAGTGCAAGTGAATCAGAAGTGATTGCTTAGACTTTAATACACGTGACATTGTGAGGCAGTACACCCTCCCCCCACCCACCAAAATTCCTCAGTGGAAATGTACATGGATGCATCAGTAAAGTTCTGGAAGTGCAGATAGCGTGGGTGCCTGCCATGCAATTAAATCACTCGTAAAGCTTTTAAACTCACTCTGCCAGTCACACCGTGCACATTAGAATTAAAACAACAACATCAACCAAAAAAACCTTAACACAGTCTGAAACCTAGATCATTGTGCTATAAAGCATTGCACCATGTTGGGAAATGTGTTCACTTATTCCCCCCATGTGCTGAAAATTCAGAAGACATCCCAGAAGTTTCATTTTGGCCCTATTGGCTCTGTGTTCTCCCTTCAGCCATTCTGTGTTTCAGAAAATATTCTCCACTGTGTATATTGTTACTCTATACATATCAAAATATCAACTAAAAGTGTGCATACTAAAGCATTTCTGAAATGATGCTCACTTTCTGCCTTTTGTCTACTAAAGGCTCCAAGTGACAATCCTTTCCAGCACCTCTAAATTTTGAGACGTTTGAGCCAAGTATACAGTTCACCAGATGTACGTTTCACACGTAACCCAGACATAACTGCAAGCACCTGGCCATAATGCCTTGCCCAAAAATAAGTCATAACCTTTCAAAAAGCCACCATGCTAGGGTTCCACAGGTAGCATACAGCACGCGGATCGTTTGGGGATCTGCTCTGCTTCCGCATGGAAAACAGGACATTCCCAGGAGTGCTGTTGGGTTTTTGTTTTAAACCTCATTGCGTTTGGCTCAAGGGCAGTAGCGACATGATTTGGTGAAGGAGGACTTCCTATTGGATCTTCTACAAAGTCTCCCACACCTCTGAGTACCCACGATGCTGACAGAGGTTTCCTGAAGAACTGCCTGAGGAAACCTCAGGGCCGAGTGATTCGGAATGGATGCCTGTCAGTTGCCACTAAGCCAGTGGACCCTGCCCCTCCTGCTAGTGTCCCCTTGTTTCTAAACTTCACGGCCTCTTCTTTGTGACAGCTCTACAGCTCATGTGGCGGATGTTCCAGACTCTCCTGGGTCCTATGTACATTGAGCAGAAGCAAAACTTGTTTTAAAAAAGGGGCACTGTTTTACTCAATTTTTACAAAGGTCCTTTGTCATATTTAAAAAGCATTTCAGTTCTCTGAACAGTTGGTTAAAACCACATTGAAGATTCAACTAAAAGCTGAAGGAAACTGAAATAATACTGCTCAGGAGAGTATCTTATAGGATTCCACAGTGAACCCATGGAAGCAGGAAGGGGTGAAAGTAGAACGTACTGTAGAATTTTCAAATCATATTCTGGAGGGGTAACAGACACAGCAGTCCACCCCATCTGCTTCCCCTGAGAGCATAGAGAGGGCTTCTGAGCTGGGAAGGAGCTTGTGAACTGCCCAAATTGAGAGAGCGCTAATGATATGCTTAACTTCTCTATCACTGCGCAAAATGGTTAACTCCCCAGTCCCTGTAGCCCCACCTGCTACTAAGCATGATCAGACCAGCAGAGGCATCATCCTTCCCCAGACAGTTTCCTGAGGAGGCTTTCAGTATCTGCTCATGGTGACGCCAAGGCTGGTTTTCTTAAAACCTGCCTTTATAAAGTCTTAGTGACCTCCTGGGTATACAGCTCCTCATGTGGGTCCACCCATGCAGAATCAAGCAGAAGCAAATAGGTCCTGGCTCTGAGACTGCCCACAGGAGTCTGCCCTTCTCAAGCGGGGATTTGCTGGCGGGCAAAACATGGGCCTGTGAGTCACCCTTCTACACTGTCACCAACACACCTATACCCCTGGCAGGAGACAACTTAGTTGCTCTAAGTGCATGTGGCCAAAGCTGTTGATGGTGCTGTTCCAGGAATATCACCTAAGAATCCTAAATGCTTCATTAAAGAAAACATGGCATTATGAACAAGAGTCCATCAAAGGAAAGCTGCAAATGGCGTCCCATTCAAAAAGTCCACGTCTCACACACCATTGCATTTTGCCACCCTGAGGCAAAATGTCCCTGAAGTGTTCTCTGGGGAACCTCCAGCACCTTGCGCAGTGCCTGACACACAGCAGGGGCCTCAGAAATGGCTGTTAATCAGTGACTAAAACCCACTCAAGACTGCTTTTCTTACTGCTTTTGATAAAACTCATAAGTGAACTCTGAGTGAGAGTTGGTTTCTTTGCCTCATCCTGCTCCCTGTAGCTACCTCTGTGCCTTCATCCCACAGTTGGATGCAACATCCCTGATTTCTAGGATCAGCTTGGTTCATGCCATTGACCCTTGGTTTTTTTGGTCTATTTCCATGTTCACCAGGAAGAGAAGCATGAGGTTACATTTGTAACCTCCCTGCAGCAGAGTCAACTGCATAATAAGAAGAGACCGAAAGACACACCTGCTCCATGCCAGGTTAGTACCCACCCATCACCCTCATAATTTTGCCAAAACTTTAGATATGTTTGTGAGTATTAGCCAAGTATGTGTATTAAAAATCTGTCTTCCCAGAAGTTGAGTTTGGTGTCCTTTTGACAATGTTCACAGACTCCCAACATGTTAGCTTCCAGTTAAAAAAGGTGCTATAAGAGAGATCCTTGGTTTTATAGATTGTTTCATCCCCACTGGATGCCATGTGTATGTAGCTGGCACTTTGGCAGGCTGTCATAAGCCATTAAGACTCTGTTAGACCCTGCTCTTAGCCCCATGTTTCCTGTCTTATTAGATGGTTATCCATCAGCAGGAACAGCAGCCATAGTTGCTAACAGTTATTGTGTGATCACTCTGGGCCAGGTCAGTGCTGAGCATGCTACATCCATCACCTTACTGCCCTTTCAGAAAATCACACTGCACTCAAAACTAGGCAGCACAGTGCATCTGACAATATATCTACTGTCAAACAGAGAGCTTGGATACTGAAGGCCATAACTCAACTCTCACACATGCAGGGGGTGGGGAGGGGCCGTGCTCTGCTCAGACCCCTTTGCATCATTTCTTTTGCATCATTTACCTGTGTTTCCCTAGGCTGAGGATGCACCTGTGGTCTTCCTTTAGCGGACTGCCCTGAGCTACTGGAGCCATTATGCCAGTAGGAATCGAGAACAGAATGTTTACACCTCCTCTGGGTACAGCCAGCCCCTTGATTCAGGTTGGGACACCTCCGAGGCCTAACTTTCCCTCCGGAATTCCCCTGATCAGGCTGAGGCTAAAGTCCATGGAGCTCTCCCTGAAATGACAAACCTTTGCCTGGCTTTCTCTCCTTCCTTGTCCTGCTTCCCCCACTCCCTTACTGGTATCCCCTGGGAATACTTCCTTAATAACTTACTTACACACAAATCCTTGTTTCAGGGACTGCTTCTTGGAAACCCAACCTAAGACATTTTTTAAAAAAATGGTTAAATGGTCCTCTCTGGGATAGAATCTGCACTCACCACTAGCTGGGACAGCCAGGGTGGTAGGGGAAATGAAGATCTCTCAACGAAAATGACCAAAAAAAGGCAATCCCTCACAGCGTTCAGACCCAATTCTTTGCTTAGGGGACAATGATTTAGTCTTTGTGGTGTGTGAACTCTGATGTAGGACGTCCAGGATGAGACACCATTCTGAGGTTTACCAGATGACCACATGGCATTGCTCCAAGCTTTCATCCATCATCTGTGTAGAAGGAGGGTGACACGTCTGCTATATAAAGGTGATACAGAGCAGATTTCTTGCTAGGGATCAGGTTTTCCATCCAAATTCTTGTTGGGAATCTTCCAATGAGAAGTACATATGAAAAGACACTTACAGTTCTTTAGCACACGTTAGCACGTGACTCCACACTTCATCGAGGCAATAAAGATGTGAAATGTTCTTAGGGGTCTTGCCACATCCACAGTTTATATGCACCACTGCCAGCCTGGTGGATTCATTACGTGAGGTTTCTTCAACTTATTTGATCTGTAAGTCTTTTTAAACAGCAAGTTCCAAAGTACAGTAAGATTTTCATCCTTTAAAATTTGTATTCATGGATATGTACTTCCAAGATTTTAGGCCAGATATCAGTGCTTGAGTGAATTATATAACTATTTAATAGAAATAATAAAACATCGATACAAATATAAAGACATAATCAGTATAAAAGGCTTATATTTATAAAAAATACTTTAGGTAACAGTTTTCCCCTGAGGGTTGACCATGCATGTTGCATCCATAAATATTGCTCGGCTCTGAAGCTCACTCTCCAAAGTTCAGAGTTCATCTTTAAAGGAAGTGGTGCTGGCCCCGGTCGTGTGACCTGGCCGAAGTGGCTGCCTCAGGCTGGCACCTGGGCTTGATAGAATGAAGAAGAGAACAGCATCAGTGGGGCCTCCGAAAAATCTGGAGAAGATTTTTTTCTTCCAAATATGGAAGATACAAAGATCAAGGATGACAGGCTAGTGATCAGGTCATGTGACTGGTGTGGCAGCTCACTGGTTTTTCTGGACCCAGTCCCAACTGTCTTCATTCTCTTTCCGGTTCTTCTCAGCTTCGATAATTTCTTTGTACCTTCGGCGAAAGAAGCCCATCTGAAAGGCAGAAAGAAAGAGGAGAAGCTGAGTTAGAAGTACTGAAGAATCAGCCACTGTGACCCCAAGGCAGCCTGTCCCTGGGTAGGTGTGACCTGTACTCACAGGGCTGGGGAGGCCTGGAGGACCCCTCAGATTCGAGAAAACACTGGCAAGAAAAACATCCTGTGGAGACATTTTTCAAAATGCACGGACTTCCTGCAGGTGACATTAGGTAAGCTTTTTGTTCCTTGTAAAATGCATCTGGTGTAGTGTTTTCCAGACTGTGTGCTGGGGAATACTAGTTACTGAGAGCTGTTCAAAAGTGTTTGGGAGTAAAAAAAGGTTTCGTGGCTGGGCGCAGTGGCTCACACCTGTAATCCCAGCACTTTGGGAGGCTGCGACAGGCAGATCACTTGAGGTCAGGAGTTTGAGAGCAGCCTGGCCAACATGGTGAAACTCCGTCTCTACTAAAAATACAAAAATTAGCTGGGCATGGTGGTGTGTGCCTGTAATCCCAGCTACTTAGGAGGCTGAGGCATGAGAATTGCTTGAGCCCGGGAGGTGGAGGTTGCAGTGAGCCGAGATCGTGCCACCACTGCACTCTAGCCTGGACGACAGAGTGAGACTCCATCTCAAACAAAAAAAAAAAAAAAAAAAAGATTTCATGGTCAAATAAGTTTGAGAAATGTGGCTTTTTTTTTTTTAGAGAGAGTCTTAATGTACAGTGGAAAGTAAAGGATCCATTACCATTAATTCCGGTGGGGAAAAAACCAGGGACCTGACATTTCCCAAGCTTATTTGGCTTTTGATAAACCTAGTATCTTGAGAGATCTTAGCCATCTGTGGAATAATTTAATAAACACTGCTCTCACATGAGAGGCTGTTTAAAGCATCTGCAGGTCTGCATTCTACCTTGCTGTCATTTACATCTTTCTCTCAAACCGGTGCAATCTGTGCTGTCTGTGCACCACAGTCAGCAGCACATTCTCACCTAGAACAGGCGTTTCATCCTGACCCAAGATGGCAATTTCCTCTAGCTTAGTTCTGAAAAGACTCTGCCCTTTGATGTTGCATTAGGTCTTACAACTCTTCACATATGGTAAGACAAGTTTCTAATTTTTCTCATAGTCATCACCACCGAACAGTTAAGCAATGTTTGTAGCCCAAAGCTTACCTTTCCTCCCATGCTCTCAGAGACTCGGCATCTCTCGTCCTCGGCTCACTAACATTAGTGGGCTCTGTTTATGAGGTCAGACATTCCTCTCTGCATCTCGCCTTAAACATGGCTGACTGTATTGGGTGTATAAATACCCCAGCTCCCTCTCTCCTTGGGTGGAATAACCCTGAGGTGCATGTTCTACCAGTTTCCCCATGGAGCTTCCCTGCAGAGGTAACCAGCTTGATGACACATCTTTTATTGGCTTCCTTCTCCAACAGTTTTTCCTGAGATCACCTTCCAAATAAATGACTTGCCTTCAAATCATTGTTTCAATCCCCTTGAATAGAGGAAATGAAACAAACACACACACTTGACCTGGTGCTGGTGGGCCTGCCACACTGCAGGTTTGTGGTACCATGGTATCAACAGCCTGCAATTCCCAAGTCATATTTGAAAACCCTCAAGACTCTCTCTGCAGTCTGCTGCCAACAGTGCACACACACACAAGATGTGTCCTACACAAATCATGAAGCAAACCCAGCTGTCACGGGCACATCAAATGTCTTTGTTGTCTGTGTACCTGTCCTCAGGCTTCTTCACTATGAGCCAAACATCTAGGGAAGCATCACAGCCACCCTGATGGTCACAAGCTCCCCCAGGAAGGGAAGGCAGGTGGAGCTCAGGAACTGTCTGTTGCCACCATCTTTCTACCTCCCTAAAGGGGGCTTACTGTCTAAGCCAAAGACGAGAACTGTCAAGGGAGCCACCGGGTATCTTCACCCACATTGTCAAGGAGATCCTAAGCACTCACTGTGAGTAGAGCTGATAAGGTGGTGCAGTTTGAATGACTGGGAAAGAACAGAAGCTTTCTTAGAACAACTGGCAAGAGTCTTGTGTTCTGAGGCCAGTTTTGTAAACAGACATTGAGTTCCCGGTGATTTCAGCCCTGGAGGTTTCTTCCCAGCATAAGACCACATTCATCAGAATGCTACGTTCTGACGCCCCCACACATATACTTTTCTCTCCTAAAACCTCTTCCACCTTCTCTCTGCAAGAGATGTGGAAAAGTTGCTTGGCTAGAATTTTCTGGATAATTAAGAAAAAGTCATAGTCGTCATCCCCACAGCACACCCACAGAAGGTCAGAAAAACGGACCAAGACGGAATGGAAATCTAAGAAGCTACTGCCTGAAATGTCATTCTTTTGTGATAAAGATGTGGTTGGCCAAGAAAACATGACCAGATGTGGCTGGTCACATGCCGTGAAGGAGAATGTAATCATGAAACTGTGGCTGGACGTAACAGGGAAATAAGATTCTCTAGCACATACCTTTGGCTGCTGATGTTGCAGTGTGTCAATAGTCCCAGGTCACTCAGTTGTAATTCCAGAGAAGTCCCATTTCCCTACCATGGCACTATCAAGCAGAATCTTTTTTTCTTTTTTTTTGTTTTGAGACGGAGTCTCGCTCTGTCACCCAGGCTGGAGTGCAGTGGCCAGATATCAGCTCACTGCAAACTCCGCCTCCTGGGTTTACACCATTCTCCTGCCTCAGCCTCCTGAGTAGCTGGGACTACAGGCGCCCGCCACCTTGCCTGGCTAGTTTTTTGTATATCAAGCAGAAAAATTCTGTCCCCTTATTATATCCTGCATTTGTCTTAGGGCTCCTTGAAGGCAGGCTTTGTGCTTTCAATCCCCAGCACTCAGCATCTCACCTGTCCTTGGTACCAGTGCTAAATTGCAAAGGATGCCTCCACACCCTTTACCATGTGACTCTCCAGCTCTTCCCATCATAAGGTGGAGTCTATTATTCCAGCCTTGATTCTCTGCTGAGACTAGCTTTGACAATTGGATGATATGGAGGAGATGCTGTATCTGTTACACACTTAGTCCCTAAGGGGCCTTGCACACTTCCAATTACTTTCTCAGAACCCTGCCCTGCTTCCATACAAATGCCTATGTCTAGCCTGCTAAGAGACCAGTTTTTTTTGAAGCCCTCCCAGACTAGCCAACTCCCAGCTGCCTGCAGAGGCACATGTAAGTCCTGCTGAGCTCCAACTGCCCCATTGAGCTCAGTCCAAATTGCCAACCCACAGAATTGTGACCCGCATAGATGGATATTGCTTTTTTTTTTTTTTTTTTGAGTAGCTGGGACTCATAGGGCGGGGCGCGGCCACCTCG